GAAACTGTTTTCCTTGTTTTAGAAATAGTTTTTTAAGTTACAAGAGTTTGGTAATTAGTGCCAATTTGGCAGCGGAACTGGGTATAAAAAGGGACACTATGTTGTTTTATTACTGCAAAGAAGAAAAGAAAGAAGAAAAAAAAGAAGAAAAAAAAGAAGAAAAAAATTGGCAGTACAATGAGATCGACATCTGAGGCTAAGCGGTTAAGCGGTTCGTTATGTCACGCACAAGACCCTTGTTCGATTCCCGAATTGGGATATTTTTTTACGGATCTCAGTCATTCTGCTTTATGATGTTATAACCATTTTCAGCCTGGTTTGGCTCTGGCGGGCAGGTTCGAAGCCCGTCTCTTAAAACGTCTAAATTGTGTTGACCGTGACTTTTAAAAACCTAGGTTTGAAGAAAAAACAACTTAATTCGGGTACAATTGTATACCAGAAAGGCTCATTCCTCAAAAGTTATTTTTTTGTGGCGTACGGTGCGTTTATACTTAAAATGAAACCCCGAACCTACCCTCATCAACAAATCAACGGTAGTGTGTAAAACATTACTGGGCGTTATTCGTTTGGTTTGTCTGTACGTATGCGTGTGTTTGGGGGGGGGGGGTGACTGTTTGCGTGTGCATGTGCGCGCGCGCTCGCACGTGTGTGTGTGTGTGTGTGTGTGTGTGTGTGTGTGTGTGTGTGTGAGTGAGTGCACGCACGTGCGTGTTTGTGTGTGTATGTTTACGAGTGAGTGTGCACGTGCGTGTTTTCAAGCACTAGTACAAGTCGTGTTCTTCATGAAAAGGTTGTGAAGTGTAGGTTTACAAGTGAGAAAAATGTACAGGCCTAACTCTAAAAAAAGGCATTCTTTACATTTTACTTGATTTAAGTCAGGAAGCAATACAAACGCGGCACAGGATTCTAATTGTCGCGAAACCGGTATATGGAAATAAATATTGCGAAAGCCGTAATAGACTACGGCATCTGGTTGTTAGAGAGCTCTTTGGTGTTAAGACTTTCCAACAGCGCCTGGGCTTCTTTTGCTTTCAAATTATTTACATCGCTTATGCCGTTTAACACAATCAACAAAGTCCAAACATTGTTTACTGTCGTTTTATTACACATTTTCACTGAAATTTATATATTTATTCTCTTTTACTGTTTATTATAAGGTTTTAATTTTATTTGATTTAAAAAAAAAAAATATATTATAACCTTGTTTACATTTTAATTTCTGTAGGCGAATTCTAGTTCCTGTCGAGAATCGAAAATGGCAGCCAGTGTGTCTGCGTGCGACAAGTTTGTTCTCTTGACTAAAGGGTGCAGTTTTCTTGCCGTACCTTTTGGGTAAATAAGCCATTTATTTTTTCTACAAGTAGTTTACACTTTGCGTATTATTACAAAAATCACTTATTATGTTTGGATGAAAAATTTAAGGCCTGTTGTTTCTTTTTGACTGGAAATGAAACTTCGAACCCAGCGATGGCCGTGAAGAAATGAAAGTGAAAGTAGAAACTCTCGTGTAAATCTGTATAAAGTTGAACGATTTTTCAGTTAATTAATTAAATTTTTTTTAAAATGTTATTATTTGCAAATCAAAGTAGGGTGCTTTTTCGGTAGTTCCCACCCCCCTTATTGGCCTTATTTGAGCCAGACCTATATCGAGATCTATTCGTTTAATGTGCGGCGAGCTAAGATCAAACCCAACAACTGCAAAACATCAAATTATGGTAAAATTCAGGGGGGCATGCCCCCCTGAAACCCCTCACCATATTTTTATTAGGTCAGGGGGGCTTGCCCCTGAAACCCCCCTACTCTTGAGGCCAAAACTGGCGAATAACAATTGCGGGGTGGGAACTACCGAAAAGCGCCCAAAGTAGAACCAAATTTTTTTGAAGTTTGGTAAGTTTTTACAATCACTCCGACACAGAAATTCACACTGCTTCTTGAGTCCAGGGGCGGGGCAAACCAACTTGTCGGCTAGATCTAGATCTAGATCTAGACCTATATTCTATTATTGTTTTTCAACACAGATGATCATTACAATCATGGCAAATTAATTTTTTTAAAAAGAAATTCATAGACCTAATTGCCCCCTGAACCACCCGCTTCCTTCCATAAAAAATCCCCAGTTTGTGCTTCGCATGCTGACTAAAAAAACCTTATCTGGAAGGCCACCGTCCGCCGTGTTCCAGTTCCTGTAAGTTCCTTGGAAACAAATTACCTTTATTGTAGCAAAGTAAAGTAATCTGAAGAAGAAGTGTCGCAGGAGGCCATGAACAGTCCAACTCACATCAAAATATTCTATATTGGTGTAATAGTTGAAATAAAGCCAGCAATATCTCAGAGTAATTCTATGATAAAGTCGGTATTTGTGTAAAAAGAACAAGAAGAGTGATATATTTAGCCTGCCTGAGCACGACACGGGTGTAATAGACTATAGTAATACCAGAACTTTTTCCTTTTGTATTTTGGCCCACCTACTTCCTTTAACACCATCGTTTTTCAAGTTCAAAACTTTGCGGATAGGACTAAGCGTAGTAATTGATGTAAAAAGAACCCCGACCCATTGACGACTTGAATTTCTGAATCCCGCTGCGAATTACAACAAAGAAAGCGTAACTCGATCGTCGCAAATAATGCATTCTAGATCTATATTTAAGCAGAGGGAACTGATGAGAATACTCAGGAAATTTCAGTAGAGAAATATGCCTTGTTTCAAAATTAGAGCCCTGTAAGTTTCAAAAGCCATGCCCACAATTTTGTCAACTAGCCTGCTATTTTTCCTTTGGGCTTAAAAAAAAAAATCCACTCTGTCTAAGAAACGCCCGAGAAATATTTTGATGACATTCAGATTGTAAATGTTGGCATCTAGAAATAAGATGTGACAAAATGAATTAGTTCTCGTAGTTTAGACTTACGGACTCCGTTAGATTCATTCATGTCTTCAATATATGGTTAAGAGAATTGTTTTACTAATGATCTCGTTTGGAAACATAAAATTGTCGTAACATCTTGGGTATATTAGCAAGTCCTCTGTCGGTTTAAGTGAGTTCAATTTTGAAAATATCGAGGGTCAAAGCAGGAGAAAATTGGGTGAAGTTGGTTGTTACAATCTCTCCCAAGCTCTCATACCTGACACGAAAACTGACATAATGCATATCATGTCACTCAAAAGCATAAACATTTTATGAAATGGAAATTAGATGTATTGCTTCCAGCTGGGCTTGAAACTGTTGATTTTGATTGACAAAACTAACATTCTAGTTTTTATCAGTTACCAACTGTGACTATATAGCTGTCCCACAACGTGACTGTCTATCCTACAGCGTGACTGTCTATCCCACAGCTTGACTGCCTATCCAACAGTGTCATTGTATGCAACAACGTGACTGTCTATCCCACAGCATGACTCTATTCCACAGCGTGACTGTCTATCCCACAGCCTGAGTGTCTATCCCACAGCGTCACTGTCTATCCCACAGTGTGACTATCTATCCCACAGCATGATTGTCTATCCCACAGTGTGACTGTCTATCCCACAAACATGACTGTCTATCCCACAGCATGACTGTCTATTTGGCTATCCCTTAACAGGCTCAGGCAAACATTTTTTCTTTTGATTTTTCTACTCAATAACCCTGAGTTGTTTCGCCAAAACATGATGAAAACAACAGGACTGTTTTGTAACCAGAGACATGGTTAATGATGAATACAGTTTAAAGTCTGCTCTCGTAGACTGAAGCACTAATGCTAAAGGTCAGAATATGGTGTTATTTTTGTCTTGATTTTGCGTAC